GTATAGCTCTGACTTTCAAGTGAATAAATAAATAAATCTTTAAAAAAAGAATTATACAATATCAATTATAATATGTGGCTTACGAGTCACTGTTTTTTCCTGGATTGGAAAACTTAATCTGACTAATGTTGAGTAACTCATATGAACTCTTGGGTTTTACTTTTGTCTCCTTTTTCTCCATGTGAGGCCCATCTAGTTCCTCTGAAGACTCGGCCATGGCCATATCCTAAGGACTGGGTCTCAGACCAGAGCTCAGCCTCTGTCCTATCTTCACTAATGTGAATCTTATACGGCTGAGCCTGGTGTTGGCTGCTCTGCCTACAGCCTCTACCCACGATGTTCCTGGCTGAGAGAACTGCTCTGTGCACTCTGCCTCAGGGACTCCACCATGGTTGGAGCATGCACTCTCTCTTGACTTGGGTCAGCTTCCTTGCAGTTGGCACCTGGTGTGGGCTGTCGATCCTTGGCCTCTGCTAAGGCCACCCTTGATCCCAGCCATGGTGAGCCTTTGGCAGCCCTGTTTGATGGTCAGTGACTTTCGACATGTCTCCCAAAGGCCGACGGAAAGAGTCCAGCTCTCTTTCTTCACTTCATCAGGAACCACTCTTAAGCTCAATACTGTCCTTTGTTCTCTCTGGTGGCTGTGCCAAGTGTCCCCAGGCACCGCACGCATAAATCCTTGGGCACAGACCTCCGTGAGCTTTTACAGCTCCTGTGGTCTCACCTGTGCTGCTCAGATCTCTTAACTGGGGCTTGAAATCCAGTTGTCCTAGCTTGCTCTTTAGAACTCAAAGAGTACATCTCTCTTTCTTTTTAACTTTCATTTAATAAATATAAATTTCCAAAGTGCAGCTTTTGGATTACAGTGGATTTTCCGCCCCCCATAACTTCCCTCTCATTCGCACCCCTCCCATCTCCCGCTCCCTCTCCTATTCCATGCACATCAAGATTCATTTTCACTTATTTTTACAGTTTATAACTCTTGAAATGTGTAGCAGTTAAAATATCCAAAGGACTTTGTGGTCAGGATGGTTGATTCTGGCCAGAACTTGGATGTTAGATGAAAAAAAATCATTTTGCTTATTTGTCTGTTTTGGGATCTTCCTTTTCATGATGCATTAAGCCAATGTGAACTTTAGATGTTTACTTTAAAAAAGTGAAGCTTAGGAATCACATAGTGGGTACCACTGTGGCATAGTAGGTGAAGCATCCACCTGCAGTGCCGGCATCCCATATGGGCACCAGTTTGTGTCCTGGCTGCTCCACTTCCCATCCAGCTCTCTACTCTGGCCTGAGAAAGCAGTAGAAGATGGCCCAGGCACTTGGGCCCCTTGACCTGCATGGGAGACCCGGAAGACGCTCGTGTCTACTGGCTTTGGATCAGCCCAGCTCCAGTCATTGTGACCAACTGGGGAGTGAACCAGTGCATGGAAGACCTCTCTGTCTCTGTTTCTTCGTCTCTCTGACTCTCTCTCTCCGTTGCCTCTCTGCAAATCTTTAAAATAAATATTTTTTTTCTTTTAGTAAAAAAGAAGCCCTCTGTGAGCAATGTGCCCACAGTAGTTCAGACAATCCGGATGGAGTGAGCAGTGGAGGACACGCCCCTTTCCGTCTCTGCAGTGGTCAGTGGGGATCTTAAGATGGCCTGGAGTTCCCGTAAGTGGGTTTCAGATTGGGTAGGTAGGAAGCAAGGGAGATTGGGTAGGGAGAAACGAACAGCAGTAATAAAAAATAATAGGCATTTCAAGGGAGCAGTGAGGGGCCGGCGCCATGGCTCACATGGCTAATCCTCTGCTGCGCCAGCATCCCATATGGGTGCCAGTTGTAGTCCCTGTTACTCCTCTTCCAGTCCAGCTTTCTGCTGTGGCCCAGGAAGGCAGTGGAGGATGGCCCAGGTCCTTGGGCCCAGCACCAGCATGGGAGACTGAGAGAAGCACCTGGCTCCTGGCTTCAGATTGACACAGCGAAGGCTGCAGCGGCCATTTGTGGGGTGAACCAATGGAAGGAAGACCTTTCTCTCTGTCTCTCTCTCTCACTGTCCATAATTCTACCTGTCAAATAAATTAAAAAAAAAAAAAAGGAGCCACGAGCAAACCGAGGGCAGACCACACTCCTGGAGTGCAGTCCTGGGCAGAGCAGCAGCTGGGTAGGAAGATGAAAGGGCGTGGGCTGGAGACAGTTTAGCCTTTACTCACTCTGCTGAGTTCACCATTATCCTCCGTGCAGGGAGGCACTGAAGGATGTTGAGCAGAGGAGAGACATAATTAGAGCAGGTTTCCCTGGCTTCACTAATATTTAAAGGGAAATTTATCTCTCAATATTTAGATGGAATAAAACACAGGACTGACTAGAGAGAAAGAGCAGGTAGGGATTTTAAGTCAGCTATGATAACTGAGCTCAGTGAGGTAAAGGGACATACTTGCAGTGCACGAAGTATAAGAGCCGTGGGTTAAGCTGCCTCCTGAGACACCCGCATTGCACATTGCAGCGCTGGTGTTAGTCCTGAATGTTCTATTTTTCTGATCTGTCTTCCTGCAACAATGTGGGAGACCCAGACAAACATCTGGGCTCCTGCCTTCAGCCTGGCCTAGCCGCGATTGTTGTGGCCATCTGAGTAGTGAACCAGTGTATGGAGGATCTCTGTCTCTCCCTCTCCCTCCCTCCCTATTCTCTCTGTAACTCTGCCTTTCAAAAAAAATCTTAAAAAAATAAATAAAAGAGCTCAGATGTTGTTTTCCCTCATCTTTGATGAATTCTGCTACATTTGGAGGATATAATCCCTGTGGCCCTGGCAAACTATACTATTATCCTGGGAGTGGCAGCAGCACTGGGTACAAGATGTAGCTGCAGAAATCTGAGGAGCCGCCTTCTGGTAAGACCGCGAGATCAGTATGGAGCGTGGAGTAGTTCCAGATGGTTCTGAGACATGACATGGCCTACGCCTGACAGCTGAAAACAGGGGTCCTCGGGCTGTTGGTGAGGAGCCGTCCCTCAGAGCACCCTGTGTTCAGATAAGCCCGGACTCTGAAACCAATCTGGCCAGAGATTCCCTGGGGAATCGCTCTTTAATCTTGTCAGTATCATTTTGAAGGCACGAGGGGAAAAGTCTGTTTACACTCCACACTTGGGCCTGTGAAGACCTTGGAGACAGTGGACAGCCTGGGGGTCAGAATGTCCGGGGCAGTAGTTGGTCCCCGGCGGGCTTCTGAGGAGGCGCTGTCCGCGGTGGGAAGATTGAGCACGGTTTGCCCTGTTCCCTGTCAAGTGGGAGTAGGAGACTCTTTGTTGGGTTTCTTCGGGATCAAGTGGAGATTACACTTAGAACAGGAAGAAATCTTTCTGTGGGAATGAGGTGAAGGAAACGACCTTGGTGGGGAAAGGGAGGTGGCGCCCGTGTGACTGGTAATGCAGTAGCATCATGATCTGACTGAGTTGTCAAAGCAGTGAGAAAGGGGATTTTTCCCCCTTTCTTTCAACTTCAGGTCTGCAGTGGTCTCTTTTAGTTCTTTCCATGGACATGTACAGGTGAAAGAGTACTGCTGACTATTAGTAAAATTTAGAAGCTTAGAGGCAACTTTATACACTGCTTTCTCTGCTCTCTTCACTGACACATCTTGTGAGCTTTCACTTGTATTGAACTAAAACATGACTCAGCGGTTCCTTTGTACTCTGCCATGTGAACAGACCATACTTGATGAAGCAGTTCCCTACTGTGTGCATTTACTTTGTTTCATTTTTACTAGGATGAACAAACACTGCACTGAATATCCTTATACATCAGGTTTGTGTGGGTCTTCTTTTGCTTCCATCAGATAAATAATTTGAAGTAAAACCACATGATCAAAGGGTACGCACATTTTTCATGGTTCTGATATGTACAACATACTTCAATAAATTCACAGGAAACAGTATTATAAAATTGTAGATTGTGAGGACACTATGAATAGATTGCAAAATTAATGCACACCAAAATAAACTCTTTAATTCCAGTTTTCCACAGACTTTGTGAAATACGCTTGCTTTCCTGGGATGTGTTTCTTTCTTTTTTTTTTTTTGACAGGCAGAGTGGACAGTGAGAGAGAGAGACAGAGAGAAAGGTCTTCCTTTTGGCATTGTTCCCCCCCAATGGCCACCATGGCTGGCGCGCTGCACCGCACTGATCCAAAGGCAGGAGCCAGGTACTTATCCTGGTCTCCCATGCGGGTGCAGGGCCCAAGCACTTGGGCCATCCTCCACTGCACTCCCGGGCCACAGCAGAGAGCTGGCCTGGAAGAGGGGCAACCAGGACTGGATTCGGCGCCCCTCCTGGGACTAGAACCCAGTGTGTCGGCGCCGCAAGGCGGAGATTAGCCTGTTGAGCCACGGCGATGGCTGGGGATGTGTTCTTACAACTTCAAATTTGCACTCCTGCAGGAGATTTTGAGAGGTTCCAAAGGGGAAGACAGGGAGACAGGGATCCAGGATGAGCTGACCTGAATTGAAAGATTGAAAGGGATCAGGTAAGAAAGGACGGGGGAGGGAGCCTCAGGGAAGAATTGGGATGTGAGCCTGGACTGGGGATAAAGGCGTGAGACTGAGCTGAGGACAGTGTGTCACCTCGAGGTGCAGCTTCGAGAAAATGATGCACATGAAAAATGTTCGTCCAACCATACAGGCTTTGCAAAATTTTTCTAAAGTAGCTTTTTATATCACCTCCCATCACTGATAAAGACATTGAGGCACAGAAATTAAGTGACTTACAACCACACTAAAATAGTGGCAGAACACAGTGCAAAGTGATGTCTCTAATTCAGATCTCTTGATTTTCCGCTCAGCTTTTTTATAGCCCTAAGGAAAGAGCTTGGCCTGGTGTAAGTTTTCTATACTTAGAGGTGAAATAGGATACCCTTTCTCACTTTTGATGTGAGGGACCTACCTACAAGTGGGGTTGATGGGAGAATGGTTGGGGCTGACCTTCGATAACCAAGACAGGGACACTTTAACTGACATGAAGACTCTTCTAAACCCCAAACCCACGATGATGTCACACGTTGTTGCCAAGTGTACCAGAGATTATTATGAGGCTCTCTTCACAAGGGCTCTCAGTTCCTAGTCCAGATCCATAAATTGCACATGAGCAGGAGGCTCGCTGATTGAGAGATGACAATTAAGTAGCAAGTAGTGGCAAGCTGAGTCCACTGGGATGAGGCTCACAAGCCCTCGGGTGCAACTCTATCACGGTGCCTCATCACAACTTGTATCATTTCAACACTGGCCATTTCCCCAGCACTCAGCTTGTTAGAATGGCCAGCAGAAAGAAATGCTTGGTCCTAGGATTTCTTGCATTTTTGTGGGCTGAATGGGGCACTGAAGGCCAAGAAGAGGAGGAACAGACCTGCAGGTTGCTGGGCAAGTTTGACTTGAATGGGTATGTAGACGCCCAAAACCACTCAGTGATCATTGGAGGCCTGTTTCCTATTCACTCCAGGACCATCCCAGCGAACGAGTCTATTTTGGAGCCAGTATCAGCAAAGTGTGAAGGGTAAGCCTCTCGCAGTCTTCTCTCTATAGCAATAGCAGGGGCGGGGCGCAGCAGAGGGTGTGATGGACAGTGTCTGCTCCAGGATCCCTGACTATCTGTTTGACTCAGGATAGACAGTTCTTGTTTCTGGGCCTCAGTTTCTCCAAGGTGAACATTCTAGGATTGCTTACAAATTGGAACAGGTTACTCTCCAGTGGGTGTTTGCCCACTTAGGCATCTCAGACAAAAAGGAGCACATTTTGTATAATACGAACATTGCTCCTCTGAGAGGGGTCAACATCTCCTGAGAGCCTGCTAGAATGTGGAATCCTGGGCTCAGACCTGCTGCGTCAGAATCTGCGTTTTTGACAGCCTGCCTGGTGATTCAGGCACGCAGTGAGGGCTGAGAAGCACTGAAGCAGAATTAGGAAAGC